TCCCCAGGACCAGCCACAGCAGCCGCTGCAGAAGTCACAGAAGTTGTGGGATCTGTGCCAAGACACATCACCCTATTTACACTCCCCCAGGCTCTGGGTCACCTGCAAACGTCCTTGGTGATGGCTGTGTTTTCTTTCAGGTTGCTGATAAAACTGTCAAGTGGCGTAAGGCCAAGACCCCATCCCTGTGAAACTGCTAGAAACGCCCCTGCTCTCCGCACACCCCGTTTACATCCCCTCTCCATTTTGATCCATTGCGTGACACCAAGTCCCTTCACAGTGCTGCGTGACACCAAGTGAAACACCAGTACATTAGGCCAACACTACTGCCGCGACAGAGAAGAGTGTCTACAGACCAGAGTCGATTTCCCACAAACCCACGCTGTTTGCCATGAGTGACATGACATTACCCCCTGAGAACTCTTCCTTAAGCTGCCAGTCCCCAGAACAGTGGCTGTGACTGAGCTGAGCTCTCACTCCACTATCCCTTCTGCAGAGCCCTGCTCTGGTCAAATGTTCTGCCACCAGAGCTTCCCGTGGATGGGTTCAGTCCTTAGCCCCCCCCAGTGTTACAGACCCTCCACTGACACGGGCTGGCTCTAGTAACACCAACACCTAGTCTCTTGTTCTGCCCAGCAGCCCCTAGACCAGGGAGTCACTGCCATACACATCAGTCATGAAAATATGGCAAGAAATTTGCAGCTTTGAGAGTGAGGCTGGGATGGCAGCTTCACCCCTGGGCCTGGGTACAGGGCACTTAGTTACCTGTAGGGCACCCAGAGGCTAAGACTACAGGGTCAAACTCCCACCCTCAAAGATCAAGCCCCTGCTTTCCTTGCACAGTGGCAGCTCTTGCGCAGTTGGTCCTGACGACAGCAGCCCACCGACTTGAACGGAGGTGCCATCCCCATCCCCTCATAGCCTGCCCACTGAGCCCAGTGACGCAGCAGCAACCTGCCCACCTGAGACATCCCAACCCCTTAACTCATCCAGCGGGATGGGTGGCTCTCTCCCAACCCACCCATCAGACCTGACTGTGGGCCTGTATCCCCTGCCCAGTACAGCAGGCACCCCCTGGAATGGGTACCGAAGCCACCTCACAGCCTACAGCTTGTAAAACCACCCGAGTGTTCCAGACATGGACAGCAGCCCACCCCAAGGCTGAGGCAGTGTCTTGTCAGATCAGCAAGACAAGGAGTCCCTCCCCATCCCACCTTCTCCCCTCTTCCTGCTTAGATATGACAGGCAGAGCAGGAAGCAGACAGGCACTTCAATTACTGTGCAGAGTAGTCCTGCATCTTCTCAGGCACTTTAGTTACAGATGGTCAACTTGTCAATTACCTCCTCCGGCAGAGGGGAGCAACACATTGAGACACTATCTGTGGAGGGGGTGGTGCAGTCCCTCTGCCCACAGCCCCAGGAAGGGAGGTGCATGGTACAGAGTGAGAGGAGTTCATGTTGACCTGGGCATCTTCGGGGCCACAGTGCGGGGCTGGGTTTAAGGGGTGGGGAATCTAAAGCTCAGGGAGGCCCCCAGTCTGCCTGGATCTGGCTTTGTACGCTCAAGGCCCCCAGAGCATTGGGGAGACTGCACTGGTGCTCCATCCCCCCTGCCACACCACTGTGAAGCTGGAGCACACACAAAATCTACTAGCTTGGGCCCCCCTAGGCAGGGGTGAGCAATAATTTCTGCAGGGGGGGGGCACTTAATGAATTTTGGTATGTTGTCACAGGCCAGCTCCACCCCCAGAAGGGGCAGGATTGGGGACTAGCCTTCCCCTAGAATTGCCAGGGACCAGAGACTTTGAATTGAAAGCACAGCAAAGGGTTCCCAGCTCCACCACCATGTTGCCTGGTAGCTGCCTGAGGTTACTGCAGCTATTTAAAGAGCTCGTGGCTCTGGCCCCTACTGAAGTAGCACCATGACCTGGAGCCATAAGCCATTTAAATAGGATCCTGCTGCCTGAGCCACTGCTTGGAAATTCAGAGGCACGGGCAGCAGGGCATAAACAGCAAGTAGCCAGATGCCATCCGCAGGCCGGATCCAAGTGTTAGGTGGGCTGGGTCCAGCCCCCAGGCCGCCTCTTGCCCAGCCCTGCCGTAGGCTCTGGTGTTCACAAGGAATGCGGGGAAGCATCTTTCTGCTTCTCCGTCAAGGGCCAAGTCAGTGAAGGGTTCTTTTTCTTTTTTTGCTTTTCACTTGTGTGCAGACCCCAACTGATTTTTCTGTGGGTCAGCGGTCCCCACCCAAAAAAGGTTCCCCACTCCTGCTTTAGGCCAAAGGGACAACTGCCCCACGCTGAGCCCAGGGCTGTTTGCACTGCACTCTGACAACACTGCTGCAGGGTCCACCAGGCCAGCTGGCAGGGTAGGAGGGGAGCCCCCACGTCACAAAGGGACTGGCCTCCCAGCACAGGTGTATAAAACCAGAGGACAAAGGGTGAATCCGGTGGAGCTAGCTGCATGAGGAGGGTATGCCAGGGCATGTTCTGAACCATAGGGGGTTAAGGGTTAGGGTTTAGGGTTTACCACCCAGCTGCAGAGCCTGGTGCCAGAAGCAGTTCTGGGGCACACGGTAGGGATGTGAACGTATAACTGTGGAAATGGTTAACTAATAAGCCTAGACTTACTGGTTAGTGCTCATGGTTACACACAGGCTCCTGCCTTGCTCCAGGGGAGCCCCTT